CTCCAGCTGCCCATCTCTGGCAGAGAGCAACCCAGCAGCTTTTCACAGCTGGCTATCATCTGTGTACTTTTTGGGCTCAGGTGCTGTAGGCTGGAGATCCCCACATTTAGTTTAGATCCTGCTCTTCTCATGGGGATCCAACTGGCTGTTTCAATATCCTTCTGGTGCTGCCGCCCATGGTTGCTCCTGTCCCCCTTCTCGAGTCTCTACTGCACTACATACCAGTTAGGTTGTGCTTAAGCTGATTCTTCTTTCTGTCCAAGGTTATAAGGCTTCTCTCTCCTTATTGTTCAGTTGTTTGTTCCAGATTATTTCTCCACAATTTAGTTGTAATTCCAGATTGGTCCTGGGAGGAGGTCAGTGTGACTTCCATTCCCTCCTGCACCATCATGATTTCTCTCGAATTCAAATTAAATTTGTTGCATCTTCTTGTTGAACTTAGTCTTTAGGACTAAGTACTTAGTCTTTAATATATGTATAAATCTATTTTATATGTCTTCTTAAATTAGATCTAGATTTTTATTCTAATAAATACAAGCTGGATTGACTTAATAATTGCTAAAATAAATCATAAAATAAGTTGGACTTATTAAAATTGTGGGATAAATTTTCTTCTTATTTTGGTCTTCTATTAATAATAACTTAGCCATAATGAAATCAACTGTTATGTGTCAAACTAATGTTTATCCATATGTGAAAAGGTTTTGTATGTCTGGGGAAGCTTGGAGGCATTATTCTGGCCTTCTAATACATGACATATTATTCCAAAATAAAGAAATGGCATATAGCTTTGGCTGGTGTGGCTCAGTGGATTGAGTGCCAGCCTGCAAATCAAAGGGTCCCTGGTTCAATCCCAGACAGGGCACATGCTGGGGTTGTGGGCCAGGCCCTTGGTTGGGGCTGCAGAAGAGGCAACCATACATTGATGTTTCTCTCCCTCTCTTTCTCCCTCCCTTTCTCTGAAAATAAATATATAAAATCTTTTAAAAATGGTATATATAAAAGTATAATTTTAAAGCAAGAATAAAATTTTGAGATATATTAAAAGTAATGAGAGAATTTTTAAAGCATTACTTTGTTGTTGTTATTCCTTGCATGTTTCATAATTTTTGTTGAATACTGTACATTTTAAATGATAGATTTTGGCAACTCTGAAAATCAGAATCTCCCTTACCCCAAAGAAGTTTTGTTTGTTTGTTTGTTTAGTGACTTTCCTGGACTAATTCTTTAAATTCAGTACTTGTCATTTGTGTCCACTGAAGCCTCAGACTGGTTAGCTGAATAGTCAGGTAATGGTTGGAGAGAGGTCTCCTTAAATTCCTTGAACCAATAAATCTTCAATCTTTGCAGAGGTGCCCTGTGTATGTGCTGAGGCACACTTTTAACACTCAAGTAGGAAAGTTTGCTGTAGGCTTCACTTCCTGCTTGTATAAAGCCTCAAGGTCACACAGAGGTAAGAGCTTTGTACCTTCTGAAGTCTGTTTTTTGCAGGGTGGGTTAGCAATTCTGTAACTACTTTCAGAATTTTATAGGATTGAGAAAATAAGTAAATATATTTAGAATAAGAAGAACCAGGGTTATCATGGGAAAAAGGAATTTAAAAATAAAAAAAGAAAGACTAGATTAACCTGTGGTGTTGAATTGAAATCAAAGGTATCAATAAAAACTCAGTTTTAACAGATAGAGAAGAAATAAGTATATATTTCTAATGTTTTTCATTGAGGATGCCTGAAAGAAATGACAACCGAGTAGCAATGCATGCACTTGCTGCACTGATTTTGTTTGAAAACAGCATTTTCTACTAAATGGAAGTAGGGCTTCTTAAAGGAATGGCTGATTCCAAGGACGGAGCGGGGAAAGAAATGAGGTGAACCTGAAATGCCTTATTGTGCTGCAAGGTAAGGAAATGCTTAAAGAATGATGGCAATATGTCAAAAAAGACACAAGAAGCTGTTTTGAAAGGCCTCCCAAAAGTCAGATCTCAAGTAATTTAACCTCAAAATAAATAATGAAGAATAAATTATAACCCTTTCAGTAAAATAAGAATTCTGAATCCATACTCATATTAATATATAAATGAGAAAAAAGATAAAAGTTCTTTATAGTAAAGCACCAGCAAATAAATGTTAAAAAAAATGAAGTTAGAAAATCACCATTAGATAGATGTCACAGTAAAATGATTCAAGTGTCATCAATTGATGTTATATTAGTGAGAGCTTGATCAAGAATAGAGTATTAACTTATTCTTAAAGTAACTCCCCTAAAATATTTATAAATATTAAAAAATAGTAACTTTACAATAAATTAAACTGGAACACACCACCTCAAGTTAACAATGCCAATTACAAGATGGACATCCTGTGCTTTTTATGTTGTATACTGAGAAGGATACATTGCTTCTATAGAATTCCTGCCAAAACATATATACTTATTCTAATCATGAGAAAATGCGAGGTCTGTCCAGAAGGTCCAGCCATGTAATATGAACCACAGAGATATTTATTGAAAGAAATGCAATATGTAAGAAACATTGTACGTATGGCAATGACTCTTCAGTCCCCTTCAATGTAGGCACGTTGGGACCTCACACAGTTCTCCCAATTGCCATCAGCTGTCCTGCTGTATTGTCCTGAATCTCATCAATGGTCTGAAATCTCTTCCCTTTCAAAGGTGATTTCAGTTTTGAGAGAAGCCAGAAGTCACAGGGTGCCACATCTGGGTTGTAGGGGGTCTCAGTTACCTGGGTGATTTGATGTTTTACAAAAGAACCACTCACGAGATATAATGCAAGACAGGGTGCATTGTTATGATGAAGCTGCCAATCACCACTTGCCTGCAGCTGTGGCCTTCTGTATCATCCAACTAGTTTCTGTGAAGGAATGTTTAAGCTTAACACAAAATTTGATGAAGATTCATTGCTCTACTCGCTCAGCCATTTTGAATGTGATGGCCACACAGTATACATTCTCACTCAATGGCATCTATTGCCCCCAATGACTAGTACAGTGTAAAGTCATCATTGTTCACACATGCACATTCCAGGCCACTCTCCTTGGCTGCCAGGGTACATCAATGTCATGCAAACCGTTCTCATTATATTAAAAATGGCTGGGTGTTTTCTGAACAGATCTCTGCACAATCCCAAAACTGAGACGTAGTCTGCAAAATAAATAACCTGTACTCTTCAAAAACTTAAGGTTACAAAAGACAAAGACTGAAAAACTGTTCCAAACTGGACTCGGACAAAAAAAAAACTTAAGATCATTAAGGTTATTAGTAATATTTTCAAAAGATCTATAAATTAGATAATAATATTACATAAAAAGAAGTTTCCTGATTTTGATCATTGTATTATGGTTACAAAAGAAAATGTCTTGTTCTGGGAAAATTAACATTGAAGTATTTAGGGATAAAGGAGCATCATGTCTTAGACATACTCTCTAATTTAATAAAAATAATAATATAAATGTATAGGGAGAAAAATGCTAAAGGCAATGGGATAAAGTATTAACTTCAAGATATGAGTGAATGGTATATGAGAATTCTTTTTATTATGCTTGTAACTTTTATATCAGTCTAAAACTATTTTAAAATACAAATTTTTTTTAAAAAAAGAACCTTACTAACTGGAAACAATGAGTGAATTAGGTCTAATATCTTTGTACCAAATGACACCATTTACTCATATTTTTAAATCATACAACAATATATAGTTATCCATGTATGTAATAGAGATTTAGTGTTTACTTTAACAAAGGAAAAGAATGAAGGGAGGAAAATTAGGTAGGTTAATAATTATAATAATATATATATTTTAAAATATATCTAAATCAAGTGCGACAAAATTTTATGTGTTATATGTGATGGTGTGTATATGGATATATTTTATTATGTTTGTACTATTAAATGTGTAATAATATAAATTACAATAAAGTATTTTAAGAAAAATACTTTTAATAATTCAAAGTATCTAAGACCCAAGAATACCTTCGTATACCTATTGCAACAAACCAGATGATTTCTGAAGGTGCTTGAGCCTAACTAAGCCCCAAGTTGGAGACAATAAACTAACAAAAACTATTGGTAGTGAAGGTCAAGCCAAATCCTGAGAGTACCTATTCTTTGCACAAGGTGTCTCTTCTGCCTCTCCTTCAATCTATGCTTAATTTTTGCCATTTTCCTCACTAGGATTACTTCTTCCAGATTTCATAAAAGCATGATAATACAACAAGCTCAAAGCACTATATATTTCACTCTTCTAATTAAGTAAAACCAGACATATCATCCATCTATACCTATTATCTATATTCATCGATAACTCATACCTTTCAATTGGCTGAATGAAATCTTGCTTCAACTCTGACCAGTTTTGAAATTTAAACCTGGATGATATGGATCTGATATACTATGTTTGATATTTTAATCTGAGAATTTCCTTATCTTGTTTTACAATCATTTATGAAATAAATAATATACTATCAGATTCAAATTATCAAATTATTTTATAAATAAAATGCTCTTTTTCACTTTCAAATTCAGGAAAAGAATATCTATGTATTGCATATGATTATACATTATAGCAGAGACTTCTAGTAAGTTAAACCTATTTTCTCTTCTTCCTTGATTAAGACTACATGCCCCAGCCTCCTTGTCAGTTAAGTGTGTCCATGAGACAAAGCTTCAACATTCAGGCCTGGCCTACAAAAACCTCTCACTAGCAGTCCTCCATCCTCTGTCCCCTTCTGCCTGCTGGATACAGAGGACAAAACTCCGGGGATGACAGTAACACAAATGGAATAAACCTGTGTTCTTGAATCTCTACATGAAGGGAAAATCTCCTAACAAGGGTTGCCCATACAGTTGAGGAAAAAATGATTTCTATTGTGTTAAGCTACTAATATTTGGGGGTCTATTTGTTACCACAGTTAGTGTTACATTGACTAAACATGCATAATCATAAATAGCTTTCCAATTGTCAATATGAAATGCTTTATACTTACAAATTGAGGTTTATAGTATGCTGGACCTAATGTGCTATCACTAGCAGGTGGAAAATTTTTTATAATACTGTCATCCTCATTAATATGATAACCATATGACTGTCCATGAGAAGGAATTGAAGGAACATTAACACATTTGAAAATTGAAGGTGACCTTGAAAGTTTCTGTAAAAAAAATTTTTTATATTATTTAATCAAAGGCGAGTAGGAATGAAGAACCAAATATTAAAATTTACTAATAGGCAACTATTAAATGTGGGCTTAATGAGTTCCAAATATAAATCAAAAATGTTTGTTCTATAAAAGCAATCTAAGGGAGTGAATTCAAGTCTCACCTCATCATATAAACCAAGATACCATTATTATTAAAGCCACCTTCAGAGACAAAGTCTCCTTTTCTTGGCTTTGTTATTTATCTTGCTTAATAAAGCAAGTAATAACAACAGGCATTCATTCCTATGGTCACATCACCAATCAACATTACTTGTGGCATGCTATCATATTATCTGCCAGGTGGAAATGAACTCATTTTCTGTAACATTTCCCAACTTCATTCCTTCCCAGCTCCTGATTTATCTCCATAATACTGGCCCCCTTTATAAACTAATAATGCAACTATGTAGCAAGAAAAATGTCTATGACATAATGCTAAATGGAAAAAAGGATAAAATTGTATTATTACTACAGCTATGTAAGTTATATGAAATTATATATGTGCATAAATTCACAACATAACATGACTTAATACTGAAAGAAGCTATACAAAAACTAACAGAATATTAATGTTACAGTCTGGCGTTTTAGGACGATTATCCCTTTTTTCAAAATTTCCTTACATAAAAAATATTTTATAATTTATTAATAAATAAAAACAGGAAAGAGTTCCATGTATTAAAAACACTAGTATAAAAATGTATCAAAATGCAGACATTTAAATGATTTAGTTATCTGGAAAATTCACTATTAAGAACATATTGATCCTCTATAGTTTCTAAATAAACAAATAAATAAATTTTACAGTTGTTGCCCACATGCCCAATATATAATTATGTTTTAAACATACTATCACTGGATGAATGTTTTCATCATTAGAGAAACAATTAAATAATTTTGGTGATACTTAATGAGACTGATTGATTACCAAATTAAAACAGGGAAGTATTGAATGGCTTCCCCTATACTCACTACTTTCAAAAAGTATTTGCACGATGTCAAGAGTTTCCAAAATACAGCCCCTATATCCTCTCCATCTTCTATTCCTACTCCTCTTCCTTACATCCTGTACTCCAAGTATTGCAAAGAACTTTGTTCTCTCTGAACACACCATGTCATTAAATACCACAGTCTTTATTCATGTTGTTTTCTCTTCTAGAGTGTTTATTTCTGATTCTTTTTAACTACTCAGTGAGTCCATAAAGATGCAGTTCAACTGTAATATCCCTATTCCCTCCAAAATCTCTTTTTTGGGCTACTAGTGAACATTTTATTATGATATATGTTTATTAAAATATCATTTCATCAACTTTTTGTATTGAATTTCACTCATTACTTTATTATTAAAATTATTGATCCCAATGAACAGTGATTTGTCTCCTGCATATTCAGTGACTGGCATTATGTCTGGTACACATAATCACTCAACTCAAAAAATGTTTGATAGACCCTTGCATGAGTAAATAAACATTTACACGTCCCCACACATGAAATAGCTGGTATTTAAATACACTTATAAAACTTAACCTCATTGTCATCGCACTGACATTATTCAACTGAGTACTGAACCCTAAAATATATCCCCCTAAACAAACAGAAAACTAATTCAAATTTAATTGGTATAAGCTATGTGAAGGAGTTATGGTAAGATAAGAGGGAAACAAGAAACCATGACCAAAATCTGCTAGATGATATTATTTATTTCAAAGGGGTAGGCCTTTGGTGGAAAAATCATTCATTTCTATAACACCAACACACCTTTTCAAACATATTATCTGCTAATCCTCTACACAAATTCCTCATTTCAGTCAAATAATCTTCTCATTGTCTTCTGTAAGATCCCACCTCTTTATCTTTAACTCTCCATGCCTAAATGCATATTCTTCAAAGCCAACCTCCTCTATTAATCCTCTATAAACTATACTTCCTCATAATACAGTACTCCTCCTTTAAATTCCTATGCCATTTAATTATGAGGTCATTCACTTTGCACCTGTCAAATTTCATTTTGCATTAATAGTTCCTTATATATCTCTCCTATATAAATTTTAAGCCTTTTATTTCAACAATCATGTTTCAAATTTCACTGTTTTATTAACTACTTAAACAGAGTTTCCTCTCTCCTTCTCTCTCTCTCTGTCTCTGTCTCTCTCTCTCTCTCTCTCTCTCTCTCTCTATATATATATATACATCTCATCCAGGTATTTTTTTAAAATCTCCCTTACTTTCTGTTCACCATGGATATTGGAAGTGATTAAAGATTTATCAAAAGCAAAATAGAAGTCAGATGGTAATACAGTTTAAAAGTCAAGCTTATAAAATCAAGTATTCATTTAACTATAAATAACTACAATATGGATACTAATAAACCTACTAACTTTTATAGTAAGGTTTTTTAAATATACTTATCACAGAAAACACTGAACCATTTCTACTTTATTTTAACTAAAAGGAATGTCATTAGAAGCATACTTTAAAATTTCAACCTACTGATTGAAGATGTTCTTTAGCCTCTCGTACTTTTCTCTTTATGATATCTAATGTTCCAAGACAAGACAGATCATAGCTTGCTGGCCCTGGACTGTCAGAAATAAACGTCTTAAAACGTTTCTCTCGGTTTTGTAGACTATGGCCTCCTTTTACATTATACTGAATTGAAGAGAAAAAATATGAAATAATTAAAAGAAGGAAGTTCTTTATCATTAATACCTATATGATAAATATTATATATTAACATGTACAAATAGTTTTAAAATCCAACCTGAGAAAGTTAAGGCTCTTGACTGAAGCCATAGTTCTAGTAAAAGAGGATAAGAGAAAATGACAATGACAGCTGTCAGTTTTAACTCTGAACTCAAACTAAAATGTATTGTACTTAGAACACTCTAAGAGAATGCAAAACTCAGTTTTAGAATAGGAATCAGGAGTCTCCAAAGCTGTGAAGCAAGAATAAAGAGTATATATTTACAGGCTCCTGGAGAATTTGTAACTCTGAAATGAGTTACAAATTCTGGTATTCATATTGCAAGGAAAATGCAAAACTTACCAACTTGCTTAGGATTAAGTATTTTTGTGAATAACATTTTGGTCATTTCTAGGGATATTTATGTAGGTTTACTGGCAAGCTTGGTTTTATGCTCAGATTAGTTTTACACTTTTTTTTATTGTAAAGAAGTCACTGAGAAAAATCTTCCATGCCACATATCTGGATTTTCTATAATCAGAATATTAATTAAGATAAAATAACATCATACTAGTTTCTATAAACAGTCATAGTGCAGTGGCTCAAAAGATGATTCATAATAGTGATTAGCATTTGATTGATCAGATAAGTTTTTTTAAGTCACTGTTATACCAAAAGATCTTTTCAGATGCTATGAACATGTCAATAGTTCACAATCACTATTAACTGAGCTTATCTCTAGTTTGCTTCTTATTTAGCTTCATTCAGTTTTTAAGAAATAACACAGAGGTCTTCTTTTAAAAAATCAGTCAAATTATATTATTAAATAGCTGATTCACTACTTAATTACTGTTTTAATAAGATCATAATTCTTATGTTTAAAGATATTGGATATATAATAATATATTTTAATTATTCTGCAAAAAAAATTACAAGTTACATAAAAAATTAATCATGTGAAAAAAAGAAACCCTCCTCAAAATTTGATTATTTGAAAGCCATTACTACTATGGTCTCTATGATCTTAGAACTTAAACAACAATTTGAGTTTATACTGAATACTATAACAGAAGATTAAAAAATGATATAATTGTTAGGCAGGATAGATAGCAAACCAAGGGAGAGAGGGGGAGGGAGATACATCTCATTAATTCAGCAGCCCTGAGCCCGGTCATCTCTTTGCCAGGTGTTCCGAAACTCACAAGATAAACCATGATAGCACAAGAGGAGGTGAACTCCTAAAATTCTGTATCATTTCCACTATCTGAGAAAGAAAACCTTTGACTCTCTCTCTCTCTCTCTCTCTCTCTCTCTCTCTCTATATATATATATATATATATATAAATCCCAAGGCCTGGGGACGTGGGGAGGGGGAACCTAAAAGCTGGTCACAAGAATAAAACACTTAAAACCCTTATAGTTGGGGCACTCACTAGCTGGGTGCCAGCTTGCAGCTTCATACTCAAGTGTATTTCATAAATAAACTTTCTATCTTATTTCCATTATACAGGTTGTCCCTCACCGGAATTCTTCTCTTGTGAGTGAGACAAGAAGCAAGGAGAGGGGGCCCCCAACTCAGATCTTCCTAGTAACATAATGTTTTTTTTTTAAACTATGTACAAATTAACTAGAATTCCTTCAGATTACTTATATTACATAATTATGAATTCTACTGATTTTATAAGAGTTTACAAAAAAACTGCCATATATCAGGTGACTCCAAAAACATATTACCAAATAATTATATATTTTATATGAAAACCTGTGAGAAAATGGTCTTAATACCTCTTGAGTACTGGCTTTTGTCTAATCGCTATAGTTACTTGATGAGTTATTATATTGTCAGCAACCCCCCAACATTACAGGAGCAGGGTCTCATCTGAAGGATGAAAGCACGTACTGCATCATATATCTTATTATTCAGCCCTAGTGAGAGGTATCACCCAGATCAAACATCAAGCTTAATGTGGACATCTATTCCTAGGCCTAGCTAATAAAAAATATGAAAGAAACTATTTCTCTATACCCAGAAAAAAGATCCCACACCTATAACTATTCCCATGTACTAAAAAACAAGATGGTACCTGCCAAGCAGAGACAGATCAGAAACTGGAAAAGAGCATGAACAGAAAACATAAGTGAAATCTGTACTGACACTATGAAGTGAGATGCCTAGGAAACAGGATATGAACAGACAAGGTAAGTGACTTAATAAGCAATTATCTATTAAAGGATCAGAAACCTGAATCTTGTAAAGTTAATTCTTCTCCCCCATTTCATTCAATTTCATTATGCTCTTTTCTACTAAGCAAACTTCCTTTCAAAAAAACTTGGCATGTTTCAGATATGCTAAAGGAAACAAAGCAAAACTGATTTTTGCCCCTAACTAGGTAGAAGCTATAACGGCAAAAAGTATACCCAACCTCCACCCCTGACAACCATAATCGAAGTGAAACAACTATTAAGAGATACAGAAAATAGAAAGAGAAAGTAGGATACACAGTTTCAATTCCTAAATGTTCTACTTTACAAAGCTTCAAGTATTTTGTATTTTACAGTGGAGGCAGGCTCTCACAGGTACAGCTGACAATTTTAGGGTTTTTTTTTTAATTTTATTTGAAGTCTCTAAATAATATTTACTAAGTAATTGCTGATAGAAACTATACGCTTCCAACCAATGCTTCCAAAAGAAAATTTTTTTAAAAAGTTGTTAAATACTTGCATGAATTTCCAATAAGATTATCACTTTCATTTCTACAGAATTAATACATAAACTATATCACATTACAAACATTTCCTAATTCATCCATTTAAAATGAAATGAACTTTACTTTTTAAACAGTGTGATAAATTCATACCTCTTGAACTTAAGTTTTGCAATAGTTTGGCCTAAAACTGCCAAAAAAATCATCAGCAATTGAGTAAAAACATTATTAGTCATTTTTTTAAACCAAGGAAATCTATCTTCTTCTGGCATGCTTTACAGTTTTAAGAAGAAAAATAGAGACTTCCAGAACTATTTTTTTTAGATCATTCACTATACAAAAAAGAAATCTTAATTCCTTATTCTTGAAATCCAAGAAATATACCCAATTTGGAATAAAATAAAATTTGATCTAAATTGCACTTTATATTATCTCATATGGAATTGATTAAAACCAGTATTAATATAAAATAATATTCCAACATCTGACGCTCATCATATTTAACAAGTTCAAAATCTACTTATTGTATATTTTACTTCCTTTGCCTCTTGGAATACTGGAGTTACATATAAGTTTTAATATTGGAACTAGTGGTAGAACTAGCAAGGCCATACACCCATAAAACGTTAGTCTGGGGACCATGGAGTAGAAGCAGGACTGACACTTCTAATGATTACATTTAATGACCGACTATCGAATTGTCTGCTTTTTGTCCTCTAAGCTCTAGGATTCTGGAATTTTTAAGACCCCAGTGAGAAGCAACAGATGTTCCACTGAATTGGAAGTTGAGACCATCAACTGACCATTCCAGGCTCTTTATGCTACCAAGCAAAAAGGAGGTTAGTGCATTAACTAAGGTGATTAACTTGACCAGGACTGAAAAACAGGACTATTAAAAGCCAAGGTGGGATGAAAACAGGGACATCCTGCAGTTTCCTCACACTACAATACCCAGTGAAAATACTAAAAGCAAGTTTATTGAAAGGTGAAACAAGCCTGAGAATCATGAGGTCAGGCTCCTTAGAACTAAACATTCTGATCGCCCCAACAAGCTAAGAACTCTACCAGATAAAAATCTTTGTTGAAAAGATGGTGAACATGGAATACATAATGGAAAAATCTTCAGCTACCTACAGCCTCTTAATCAGTTACAGAAATAAAATAGGTTCCTATCCATATTTCCTTGCTTCCTACATCACTTTCCCTTTTCTTTTGTAAAATGACAGTACTAATAATGCTAAAATTAACTGAATGCTAACTATAGTCAGGCACTATTCTAAATTTTACTAACATATTTAGTCCTTAGAAAAACCCTACAAAGTTATCATTTAATAGATGAGGAAACTATTAAGGAGATTAAACAGTTAAGATTAAGTCTCACAGTTAGTCAGTGGCAGAGACAGATCTTGAATATAAGCAGTCTAGCTCCAGAACCTATAGTCCTAACCACTATTATAATATCTCATGTTATATTTACCAATCAATCTATAAGTTACAGAATAATGATATAGAAATGTGAAAGAATAGGGGAAAAAATGGCCTTAATCTAGAGCTCCAGGATTCATTTGGTAGTGACACTGTAATGCCATCTCTGAATGCAGTAGCTAGACATTAGTTTGGCTCCTTCTGGGAAGGTATACTTGAAAATTATATGTAAAATAATGGTATTTTATGAATTACATATATGCACTTTATAAGTGTATGTGTGTGTATGAAGAACACCTGTGTGTGTATTGTCTGCATGAGACAGAATAGAACTGAGAAGTCAACGGGTGAAATGTAATGGAAATTTATTGTTTTAATCTGTCCAGCATCTTTTCTCTTACCTGCTCAAAACAGCATATTCATCACCCTTGAGACAAATGTGCCCCTTTCTATATTTTGTGGGATTTTTAAAATATTTTAATTTTTATTGAATTTATTGGGGTGACATAAGTTAATAAAATTCTATGTTTCAAGTGTACGATTCTATAATATATCATCTGTATACTGTATTGCGTGTTCACCACCCAAAGTCTAGTCACCTTCTATCACCATTTATCCCTCTTCTACCTCCCACCATGTCCCTCTTCCTCTGGTAATCACCATATTGTTGTCTGTGTCTGTGATTTTTGGGGGTTTTTTTAGCTTAACCCCATCAACTTTTTCACTCAGCCCCCTAAACCCTTCCTCTCTAATAGCTGTCAGTCTGTTCTCTGTATCTATGATGCTAAGTAAAGTAAGGCAGCCAGAGAAAGAAAAATACCACATGATTTCATTTATATGAACAAAATAAACAAAATGATCTGTGGTTTTAAAGGAGCTTGCAAATACATTATCTTCTATCCCAGGAAGTAGAGATATTGTTCCATAATGAAACTGGATCAATCAGATTCTCCCTACTGGAAATTTTAATCTTCAGTGGAGTCACACATAAAATATGAAAAGAAACAAAAAACAGGAAGGAAGGAAAGGGAAGGAAAGAAGGAAGGAAGGAAGGAAGGAAGGAAGGAAGGAAGGAAGGAAGGAAGGAAGGAAGGAAGGAAGGAAGGAAGGAAGGAAGGGTAGGTGGGTTAAAGAAGTATGTTATCTAATGGCAGTTCCCTATTAAATGAAGCAGAAGTTCCTAGTATTGAAATACTTAGAATTGTCTTAGCCCTATCCTTTCTTAAGACTTGACTGTTCAATCTTCCTGTAAGTCTATGAGCTACCAAAGTGTCTTTCCTATGAAACTTTAATTGTAAACCTGATATATGTCTTAAAAATCTATTTCATTGCTTACAAACAAAAATTCCTGACAGAATGGTTGCTGTTATTAATTCAGGAAGTCTAATGCATAAATTAAGGTATCAATGACTGCATCTTGGTTTTCAGGAGGGGAGATAGAAGTCTGGTAGGGCCAGCTAGGAGTCATTATGTAAGAACGCAATGTTTATGTGGAAAGAGTAGAAGATGATATTCATGATTATGAAGGTAATGGAGTTACAGCCACTGTTTTTGAACATTAATGGACCATCAAAAATATTCTTGTCACACACTTTTGAGATTGTATAGAATTAGGAGAGAGATGAGTCAATGGTAATATGTTTCCTCCACAGTATGCATATCTTCACTCTATTTCTATCCCTCGTCTACATATCTTGACTATTTGCACAACTCTCATTCAATAGTTTTATTCTCTCATTCAAGAGTCTCAAGGACCACAAAGTATGTAATAATATGTTATGTCTTACAGAATATGTGGAATAATAAAGAACACCCAACAAAAGAACCAACATCAAACACATTTACTTTCTCTAATTATAAAATGTAGATTGAAATGAAAAGATAATATTAAGAGAAAACAAAATGACAATTGACTTAACAGTTTATTAAAGAATGAAAGCATAATTTTTATTAACTTAAATAATTACAATATGATTACTATTTTAAATTTACCTGTTTTTCTGAAATATTATAGTGTCCTGGACCTGGAACAGCTTTCTCAGTGCCAGAGGCAACTGCAAAAGTACTTTCTCTGGCAGTCAAAGAAAGGAATGGTGCATAGCCACCTACAAAAGTAAAATCATAACACCAGTAGGTAACATTCCAATGATTTCAGAGAAAAAGCACTCAAAGTATATAAAATCATTTAGTAACCTCAATTGTTGATACTATACTATCAGAACTAATAGTATATATTATCAGAAAATAGAAGAAAAATGAAAATGATGAGAAAACAAAGGGAAGGTACTATTAAAAGGCCCAAAACAAAATTCTAAACTAAAAACTACCACTTCATGGGATTAACAACAAATTGTATATGAGTTAATAAAAGTTTTTTTCCTCAATCTTTAATCCCTTAAAAAAAACAGTTGATTGTTTAAAGCTAAAATCATTTCAATTTATATGCATATGTAGAAGTAAAATGTATGGTTACACTAGCACAAAGGAGGAGATGAGTGAAATGTAAGCACACTGTTGTAAGGCTCATGTACCATATGTGAAGTGGTACAGTATTTTTTGAACAAAACTCCAGAAAAAGAACAAAACAGAGATAAGTAATCACCTAGATACAGAGTTCAAAAAACTTGTTATAAGGATGCTCAGGGAATTTAGTGAGGGCCTCAACAGCATTAAAAAAAGAAAAAAATCCAGTTAGAAATGAAGGATACACTAATTAAAATAAAGAACAATTTATAGGGAATCAAGAGTAGAGTGGATGAAGCTGAGAATCAAATCAGTGATTTGGAATATAAGGAAGCAAAGAACAACCAATCAGAACAGAAAACCCTAGCTGGTACGGCTCAGTGGATTGAGTGCCAGCCTGCAAACCAAAAGGTCACCAGTTTAATTCCCATTCAGGACACATGCCTGTATTGTGGGCCAGGTCCTCAGTTGGGGGCATGCAAGAGGCAACCAATCGATGTATCTCTCGCACATCAATGTTTCTCTCCCTCTCTTTTTTTACCCTCCCTTCCCCCTCTCTAAAAATAAATAAATAAAATCTAAAAAAAAAATCCAGCAAGAATAAAAAAGAACCCAAAAGAAATGAGGGTGGTGTAAGGATCCTCTGGGATAACTTCAAGCATACCAACATTCACATCTTGGAGGTGCCATAAAGAGAAGACAGAGAAAGCAAGAAATTGGAAACTTATTTGAAAAAATGACAGAAAACTTCCCCAGCTTGGTGAAGGAAATAGACATATAAGTCCAGGAAATGCAGAGAGTCCCAAACAAGAGGAACCATACCAAGACACATCATAATTAAAATGCTAAAGGTTAAGACAAAGAGAGAATCTTAAGAGCAGCAAGAGAAAAGCAGTTAGTTACCTATAAAAGAGCTCCCATAAGACTGTTAGCTGATTTCTGAAAAGAAACTTTGCAGGCCAGAAGGGACTGGCAAAAAATATTCAGAGTCATGAAAAGCAGGGTCTTATAACCAAGATAACTCAACCTAACAATGCCATCATTTAGAATCGAAGAACAGATAAAGAGCTTCCCATACAAGAAAAAGTTAAAGGAGTTGATCACGACCAAACCAGTGTTATATGAAATGTTAAAGAGTCTTCTTGAAGAAGAAGATCAAAAATATGAATGATAAAATGACAATAAATACATATCTATTAGTAATTGTTTCTAAGGAAAAAAATAAACCAATAAGCAGAACAGAAACAGAATCATAGATACAGGGAATGTTCTGATGGTTGTCACATGGGATAGAGGGTCGGGGGATTGAGTGAAAAAGGTGAAGGGATTAAGAAGTACAAGTTGGCACTTACAGAATAGTCATGGTGATATAAAGTACAGCATAGGGACTAGAGTAGACAAAGAATATATATGCATGATCCATGGACATAGTCAATGATGTGGAGATTGCCTAATGGAGTGTGGTGGCAGCTGTGGTGGTAGATGGGGGAAAGAGGGGAAAGCTGGTACAACTGTAATAAAATAAACAATAAAATATAATTTGTAAAAAATAATAAACATACATAAAGCTAACTAGAGTTTAAAAAGTATAAATACACAGAGGTTCAAAATAAAATGATGAAAAAAGATACACATGCATCTGTGAATCTAAGAAAGCTGTTGTGACTATATTAAAATCAGACAAGACAGACCAGGGATAAGAGAGATATTTCATTATGATAAAGGGATCACTTCAAGAGGATTTAAAAATCCATATAGAAAAGCAAGGAAGTACAATAATTGCCATAAAAATCAAAATAACACTTACCTATAGGGGAAAGGGAAAGGGTTATGATCAGAAAGGAATTTTAGCAATATTACATTTCTTGACTTGAGTATTCACTTTTTAATCTATAAATTTATATTTTCTGTGTATATATTTCTCACAATTAAAAGTACAGTTTAATCACACACTTAAAAATATATGTCTTCCAATTTAAATTCACAAAGACACTAAGGTATGTAAGATAGATATGAGAACTAAGATAAAAAAGTTAAGCTCAGGCTGGTTCTGAGACTGCTGTTATCAGAACACAGCAAAAATTCTAACTGAATTCACCTAGACAAATGTAAAATTAATTGCAAAATACTTAAATTTATATAAAAATACAAAAAACAAAATACACAATCGCCCCATTAATTTAAGATGTTAAATCTTCATTGAAGTTTTCCAAAATTAATTATAATCTTTCATCAATGGCCTAAAAGTGAATATTAAATATTGAATTCAAATAAAACCACAAAAATTTTAAATGTTTATACTGATAATTTCCATGAGAGAAGAGATTTTTCTGTTTTATTCATAGCTATATACCTAATGATTACAGTCATGGTGACACACTGTCCTAGTTTGCCCAGGAAGCAGGACTTTGCTAGGACACAAAACAAATCTCAATAAATTTAAGAAGACTGAAATTATATCAAGCACAATGCTATGAAACTAAAAAATCAATCACAAGAACAACTGAAAAACACACAAAGATATGGAAGCTAAATAACATGTTGTTAGACAATAAATGGGTCAACAATGAGATCAAGGAAGAAATCAAAAGATACCTTGAAACAAATGAAAATGAGGACACAACATGCCAAAATCTGTGGGACACTAGGAAAACATTCCTGAGAGGAAAATTCATAGTATTACAGGCCTATCTCAAAAAAGCAAGAAAAAAGCTCAAATAAACAATCTAACTTCTCAATGAAAAGAACTTGAAAAGGAACAACAAACAAAGCTCTAATTGACTAGAAGGAAGGAAATAATTAAGATTAGAGCAGAAATAAATGAAATAGTCTTAAAAATATATATATTAAAAAAATCAATGAATCCAAGAGCTAGGTCTTTGGAAAGATAAACAAGATTAACCAACCTTTAACCAAACTCATCAAGGAAAAAAAAGGACCCAAATAAATAAAATCAGAAATGAAAGAGGAGAAATAACAATTGACCCCAAAGAAATACAAAGTACAGTAAGAAAATATTATGAACAATTATATGCCAACAAATTGGACAAAAATGGATAAATTCCTAAAAACATATAATCTTCCAAAAATAAATCAGGAAGAATCAGAGAATCTGAATAGACAGATTACACCTACTGAAAACGAAGCAGTGATCAAAAAACTCCCAACAAAAGAAAGCCCTGGACTGGATGGCCTCACAGGTAAATTTGACCAAACATTCTGAGAAGAACTAACACCTCTCCTCTCAAACTACTTCATAAAATTCAAGAGGAAGGAAGGTTCCCAAACTCATTTTATGAGGCCAGAGCTATCGAAATTCCAAAACCACAAAAAGACACTACAAAGAAAGAAAATTATATGCTAATATCCCTGATGAACATAGATGATAAAATCCTCAACTCAGCAGAGATACACAATGTTATTTCAATTAAGGGCCAAGTAGTATATAGTCAATAATATTGTAATAACTATGTATGGTGCCACGTGGGTACAGGAAATAGTGGGGGGAGGGACAGTTTGTAAAGTGTATGGTTATCCAACCACAAAGTGATACACCTGACTCTCATACAAAGTAATATTGAATATAAACTGGACTTTTTAAAAAGGGTTAGGTAGATTTTGTAGAGTGTGATGTAGGAAGAGCAGATGCTAGGACTTTATATAATTGTTTCCTTGAATTACACAAGAGGAGACCTTAGAATAGTGATTTTCAACTGCAGTGACACAAGAAATTTTAAAACATGCAATATCTGACTATTTAGTCAGGGGCACTGACCTCTTCTCCCTTAGGCTGTCAAATGAAAAAATGACAACAGCAACACACAATATCCACCTGGTGTAAATGAACCAAAACTATACCTATATTGTTATCAGATTGGCAAAAAATATATTTTTGGTGTGCCACAGAATTTTAGTAATTAGTTTACGTGTGCTATGAGATGAAAAAGTTTGAAAATAGCTGTCTTAGAGTCTTAGATCTTCAAACGAAAGAAGCAAATACACTTTTGGGGGGTTTTTTGTTTGTTTTCTGTTTGTATTTTTTATTTAATGTTTATGGCATTTTTTTCCATTAGCATTTAGTCCCATTATACCCCCCTCCCTTAGCAATCACCACACTATTGTCCATGTCCATGGGTCCTTTTTCCTTCTTGCTCAATCCCTCCATTCCCTAAGCTCTCTCTTCTGTCTTCCTGCTCTCCATCTTTGAATCTGTCCCCATGTTCCTTGTTAATTCAGTTTGTTCATTAGATTCCACATATGAATGAAATAATATGGTATTTTTCTTTCTCTGACTGCCTTATGTCACTTAACATAATGTTCTCCAGGCCCAACCACTGTCGCAAAGGATAAAATTTTCTTTTATAGCTGAGTACTATTCCATTGTGTAAATGTCCAATAGTTGTTTTATCCACTCATCTACTGATGGGCACATGGGCTGCTTCCATATCTTGGCAATTGTAAATAATGCTGCAATGAACATACAGGTGCTTATGTTCTTTCAAATTAGTGTTTTGGGTTCCTCAGATATATTCCCAGAAGTAGGGTAGATGGGTTGAAAGGCAGATCCATTTTTGAAGTATCTCCTTAATACTTTCCGCAATGGCTGCTCCTGTCTGCACTTCCACCAACAGTGCAAAAGCATTCATTCCTCTTTCTCCACATCCTCACCAGTGCTTGTTTCTTGATGATAGCCATTTTGACAGGTGTGAGATGATATTTCATTGTAGTTTTAATTTGCATTTCTCTGATTAGTGATGTTGAGCACCTTTTCATATGCCTGTTGGCCATCTGTATGTCCTCACTGAAGAAGTGTCTATTCAGGACCTTTGCCATTTTTTGATTGGGTTGTGTTTTTGATGTTGAGTTTTGTAAGTTCTTTATAAATTTGGGTATTAACCCCTTATAAGATGTATCAATGAATATGTCTTCCCATTCAGTGGGTTGCCTTTTTATTTTGTTGATGATTTCCTTTGCTGTGCAAAAACTTTTTAGTTTGATATAGTCCCATTTGCTTATTTTTTCTTTTGTTTCCCTTGCCTGGGGAAATATATCTGATAAAATATTGCTAAGAGCTGTGTCCAAGATTTTGCCACCTATGTTTTCTTCTACAATTTTTTATCATTTGGGGTTTAACATTTAAGTCTTTGATTCATTTTTAATTTATTCTTGTGTGTGTTATAAGAAGAGAGTCTATATTATGATGTAGTGTCCAGCACAAGTAACACCCTTTTTTATTACAAAATTATAAGCATGTAATTCTGTAACATAACAATATCACATTCAAATATACCATATGGTGTTTTAGGTGAAATGTTCCAATTAAAAGTATAAATTACTACACCCGTATTATTACCCTACCAACTACATTCAAGCAGACCTTATTTCTTCCAGACCCTATACATAAAATTTATATATATATAATTTTTACCCAAAGAACAACTTTACCTTTAAACTTTTTAACTATATTTTTAATAGCATTTCTAATGTTTTCAGGTATCTTGCTGTCAACAGAATAAACTTGTAAAGTTTGTTTTTTTAATTATATGGAAAAATCAAACTATTATTGAAATGAACTGATTTTCTCTTCAAAGCCTCTGATTTTATTAGTATTAGTCTGACATGTTTTAATTGTATGTGAACTCATTCTATCTATGGAGCCAATGGATTTATAAGGATACTTTAATTTTTGCATTAAAGTGTCTTATCTTTTAAAAAAAAAAAAAAGAAGAGAGTCTAGTTTCATTTTTTTGCTTGTATCTGTCTAATTTTCCCAAAACCATTTATTGAATAAACTATCTTTTCCCATTGTATGTTCTTGCTTCCTCTGTCAAATATTAATTGACTATAAAGCTGTGACTATATTTCTGGGATCTCTATTTTGTTCCATTGATCTATGTGTCTGTTTTTATGCCAGTATCATGCTGATTTGATCACTACAGCCTTATAGTATAGTTTCATACTATAGTAGGAAATACTATAGTAGGAAATACTATAGTAGGAATCATAGGTAGGATGATTCCTTCTATTTCATTCTTCTTTCTCAGGACTGCTGTTGCTATGTGAGGCCTTTTATGGTTCCATATAAGTTTTTGAAATATTTGTTCTAGTTCTGTAAAATACGTTATTGGAATCTTGATAGGAATTACATTGAATCTATAAATTGCTTTGGGAAGTATGGACATTTTAATGAAGTTGGTTCTTCCTATCTATGAACATGATATGTGCTTCTACTTATTTGTATCTTCTATTTTTTTCTTCAGTGTCCTATAATTTTCTGAGCACAATTGTTTTGTATCCTTGGTTAGGTTTATTCCTAGGTATTTTATTCTTTTTGTAGTAATTGTCAATAGGATTGTTGTCTTAATTTCCCTTTCCGTTAGTTTGTTATTGGGATATAAAAATGCAACTGATTTCTGAATATTAATTTTGTATCCTGCTACTTCACTGAATTCATTTATCAGTTGTAGTAGTTTCTTGATGGAATCTTTGGGGTTCCCTATGTACAGTACCATGTCATCTGCAAATAGTGACAGTTTTACTTCTTCTCCCATTTGGATACTTTTTATTTCTTCTTCTTGTCTGATTGTTGTGGCTAGGATTTACAGTACTATGTTGAACAACAGAGGTAAAAGCAGATGTCCCTGTCTTGTTCCCAGTCTTAAGGTGAATGCTTGTAGTTTTCACCCATTGATGGCAGCATGTTGTCATATATGGCTTTTATTATGTTTAGGTATGTTTCATCTAATCCCACTTTGCTGAGAGTTTTTTATCATAAATCAATGCTGGACTTTATCAAATGCTTTTTCTGCACCTATTGACATGGTATGATTTTTATCCTTCATTTTCTTATGTGGTGAATCACATGTACTGATTTACAAATGTACAACCCTTGCATTCTGGAATAAATTCCACTTGATTGTGGTGTATGATCCTTTTGATGCATTGCTATATTCAGTTTCTAATATTTTTTTTAAGATTTTAACATCTATGTTCATCAGGGATATTGACCTATTTGTTTCTTTTTTCCTGGTATCTTTATCTTGTTTTGGAATTAGGATAAAATTGGCCTCATAAAATTAGTTTGGGAGCCTTCCCTCTTCTTGAAATTACAAAATATTTTGAGAAGGAGAGATATTAGTCCTTCTCAGAATGTTTGGTCAAATTCACCAGGGCTTTTGTTTGTTGGGAGTTTTATTACTGCTTCAGTTTCACTGGGTATAATCTGTCTACTCAGATTCTCTGATTCTTCCCAATTTAGTTTTGGAAGGTTGTATGTTCCCAGGAGTTTATCTTTTTCATTCAGGTTGTCCAGAAAATTAAAAAGTTTTAAAGAAGACTATGAAGAGTTGGTTAGAGAGAGGGAAAAAAAGTGATTCTCTGACTCAGCATGTTACAAATTTTTATCACTCCTAACCATTTCAGGGACTCTTCCGAAATAACAGCTGGAAAAGGAACCAGGAAAAATAATAATAATACAAGATATAAGTGGAGAAATATATTAAAAAGTGAATGGTCAGTTGTGCCAAAATAAAATGTCCTGAAAGTATGGTAAGTGTAAGCATTTTGGATGGTCATTGGTGGACAGAAAATCATTTGGGAGTTAATGCTTGTAACAATTCAACTGCATTAAAGACAGACATAATAACCTCCAAGAATACTGATATTGATAATAAATGCTAAAAAGCAGTAAAACTCAAGATTAAAATGATGCAAATGACAAATTTTACTCTACCCAAAGAAACCTAAATGAACCTAATACACTAATCTGATCAGTCATGTCAACAAAGTAATGGATCCTGGCATCTGTTTAAAAATACAGACATTATGTGAGAACAGGAAAAAGGAAGGTTAACAAGGAAAAAAATTTAATTTGGATATTAAACTACACAAAATCAGATTAGGAAAAGCAGAAAGCAAATTGGAAATATTTATTAAATTTCTAAGTCACTAACTGCAAACAAATGTGGAGAGTGAATAATTATTTAAATTATCCATTCCCACTCCACCTCTTGGGAGTACATCTTTTTACAGAATGTGAGATAAAGGAGCCTTCTGTAAGTATGCTCAGAGAACATGGGTTTGGTCAGAAAAGAGGCATCTATCTGAAAAAAATAAAACCTGATATTGCAAATTAGAAATATAAAAACTACATTTTAGTAAGTAAATGCATCTCTGGCTAATGGTAGGAAAGGTGTGTGAGGCAGACAGGATTACAGTGAAGAGAGACAGTAGGAGGCAAGAAGCATTTAGAGGCTTGTACAGGCAACAGAGCCACAAAATAATTTTTTTGATCTAATCTATACAATTGAAAGTATGATGTAGGCAAACATTGTAGACTCAAAGTCCTACCCATATGCTTTCTGGCCTTGTGATAAGGGTAAATGATTTTACTAGTCACCACCTATAAAATAAGGATAGTATTTTCCTGCCTACTTCATGTTTTGTTATACTCACAAAGTGGTACTATTATGTTTAACTCACAGGCACACAGAAGCAGAGCAGGATGAAAGTGAGATGCCTGTCAACTGGTTTTCCTCAGATCTTACCCTTTGCCTCCTGCTTCAGGAAAGGTACCTGGTAAGATCCAGGACCCACGTGATCCTCAGTGCTGCCACCTTCAGCAAATTTGAGCACTCGGGGAGTCCGATCATACATAATGGCAGAAGGGGTTGGAAGGAGGCGGCTGAAAAGGATAAAAACAACGGAGCTAGGGGAATTGTGGAACAAAAGGAAGCCGACAACAGTCTGAGTAGGGGGCAGAACTTCCACAAATGGAGGAGCTAGCATAGGGGGCTACCACCCCACCTGCTCATAGGTATCAGATTTACCCCAGCTAGATTTTCTAGCTCAGTGATAAAGTGGTAGGGAGCCAGACCAGAAGTAAGACACCCCATAGAATCATCAGTTCACAAGCTGAAAGCCATGGCACAACAGCTTTAAAGGAGATTTAAAGAGTGGTCTTCCACCCCTGAGCTTCCGGCCCCACCTCTACCCCGGAAGTGTCGGGGAAGAGCTCAAGAGCTCTTCCTCTGCCAAGCCCTCGGAGCATGCGCACTGAGTGGTGAGACTTCCTCTGTTCTCTCCGCCCTGTGCTCTTTAAAGTATGCTAACTGCTGGAGGTACTGGACTCAAAAGAAAAGCTCTAGTAAGGGAGTTAAAGGAGGTAGGGCTAACTTGACTGTAAATTAATCTGTGCGACTGAGAAGGCACTAGCAAAAACTGAATGAAAAAGAATTAGCGCGGAGTCTCGGCTCCACAAGCTCACGCCTCCCCCTCCCCCTCTCCAATATACAGTTACGCTCGCACTCACAGAGGAAAAGCACCTCTAACTTTATCCCATAAATAGTTCAGTAAGAGAAACCCAGGATGTGCTGATGACACGAAAGGGCGGGGAGGGGGGAAGTAGAGAAAGGAGAGGAGAAGATCAGCAAGAGAAACAAAGCAAGTGCAAGTAACAGCAGAACGCTGCTTCTGCTTCCGTTGTTAGGTTCCAGGCAACAACAATGATTCATCACTGTTATAAAGTAAAGAAGAGGTGTGGAGAAAGTACAATCCACCCCACTAAACCAATGGGTCTCTTAACCTTAAACAAGAGAAACCTTAAAGGTCTTAAGGAGTCTATGTTAGAATCCACCTCAGTGTTGTCTCAGGGCCCCCTTTTGAGCAAGAATCGTCCGGATTCTAAACATCGTTTTAAGGATTCAAACAAATCCTGCCTTGACCATGCCTTACCGCAAATGAGCTACAGTATTTTAATTTGTTCTTATTATAAATTTTTATAGTATTTGTACTCTAGAATATGACTTGATACTCAACCTGTGGGTCATTTATTGTAGCTTAATTGTTTCATATATGTTAGAATACTGTCAGTACAAGGCTATATGCTTCTCAAGGGTACATCTGTAATATCTTTCCCCCCACAAAATAGCTAGCTGAATAATTATATCTTCACTTAAAAAATCACTTATTGGCATATGCTATAGGTTCAGTACCCAGCTAGGTTATGGTGATACAAAAATACAAGAAAGTTCTCTCTCCTCAGGTGTTCTGTATCTAATGGAGAAAGAGACATGTATAATCCATAACAAGAGGTAACAAGAGAGATGTATAAAATGATGAGAAAATAAATATTGCAGTGCTTTCTAAAACTCTTCTTCCTACCAAGAAACTACATATTGATCAGTGATTCTTTCTAACTGGATTCAATGCTTTCATCCTTACAGAAACCCTCATAGTTCTCTCAAGGTTACTGAAGCTTTATTTTCCCCAGCTGCAAAATTGAGATCTAGACTACATTTACTGTTATACTTTTGATACAGTACAAAGAGAAGAGTTACAGAAATTAAAGGAGAAAAATCTATATGCTGCAGAGGATGATTCAGTGGTGCTTGTAAATTAGCCTTCTATTGGACATCATTAGGCCATAACCCAAAAAAGAATGTAAACCCAGAAAGAAAACTGAGGTCTAGGTCATCATTTCTGTAGACACTGGCACAGATGCTTACATCCTCCTTCTGGCTCTGTTTTGCTGCAAGGGCCTAGATTACTCTTAATAGGGATAGAATTAGGTTTGAGGTTGGGAATGGAAGTGAAAAAGCAAGAATTACCTGCTTTCTGTCTGACTCTATTTTTGGCCAGTGAGCCTAACCTAACTTTGACAAAAGGAATTCTTTGTAGGATCTATCCTAACTCCTTTACAAATCTTAAAGGGGAGTCTGCAACCTTAAGACCTTTGTACCAGTTAGGTCTTCATTTATCTTCCTACCTCCTCAAAGCATGCCCTTTCCTCAAGGATGTCACACAGCAGGGTAGCTAATCAATGGTAAGACTCTAGCTTTTCTGACTGTTGTGGCCAGAGCCAATATAAATATGACACCACAGAGGTACAACCTCTATACACTTCAAATTTTGTAATACTTGGTCTCAGAATTCTGCATTCTTAACAAAAATTCTTTCTTTAAAAAGTTTTTAGTGTGAATACCCTTTCTCTATTTCCTTTATCACTATGTCTGTGCTCTCCACCTTTCTTACCTATTATTTCCCTCATATGGTTCAGTAACCAGAATGGTACATGGAATTTCAAAATTGGAAATTATTTTTAAATGAAAGCAGTAAATCTTTTTCATTATGGTAATGTTGTATACCATATCTCATTGTGGTAAATACTTTTTGAATAGTTTAGAATGAAAGTGCCACTAAAAAATTTTTTAAATATATTGACAGAGAACTATAAGTGCATTGAACACAAAGAATTTGATTCAGCATTTTTCAATTCCTATAAAACAGTTTTAATGATAATGCTTGATGCTACTTTTAATGTGGTTACACTGTATGACCATTTCCATGATATTAGTAAAAGATGGAAACTATGTTTCGAACTGAGATTTATTTGACTACAAAATTTGGGTTCTTTCCATTTCCCCATGCTGGCTCCCACTAAAATAAACTTTTAAATGAAGCTTTAATAAGTCATACTGATTTTTTTAATCAAATATGTTAGCTCTAATGAAGAAATCCACATTTGGTGACATAATGAAGTCACCAATTTTTCTTTATAGCACTTTTGAAATTAAGTAGGTAACTACACATGAGATCTAGAGTATAGCATGAGGGATACAACTGTCCCTTAAATAGCATTATATGCCTTATAAATATTATAAAACTGAGTGGAGTTTGAAACTAACTTTTTAAACCTAATAAGACGTACTTGTTTTCCATTGTGCTTTTTGTAAAAATTAAAAGAAATGGTAATAAATCACTTAGCATGTATCAAAATCAACCAAGTATACCTTTTCAGTGTTATTAGAGGTCATATTGTAACATTATATGCATTCAGGTTAAAATGATAAAAATTTATTTTTATATAATAAGTTGAAGCTTACAAAGTATATTTACATTTATATTTTGTTTAATATAAATTTGTGCTTTTCTAAACTACAGAATCACTATGACCCTGAAATCACCAAATTGTATGAAATGTGTGGTTTCTTGTTTTGTTTTATTTTTAAATCACATTTATTCTCTTATACTTCTCTCAAGTTTTCCCCCTTTGCTCTACTCCACCCATCCTACCCTACCCCTCGCTCCTATGGTTAATTCCCACTCTGTTGTCCATGTCAATGGGTCATTCATACAAGTTCTTTGTTTAGTCCCTTCTCCTTCTCCCCATCGTTGTCCTCCTTCCCCATCCCCTCTGGTCACTTTCAGTCTGCTCCATGTTTCCATGCCTGTGGTTTATTTTGTTTGTTTATTTTGTTGAATAGACTCCACTTACAGGTGATATCATATGGTATTTGTCTTTCACCAACTGGCTTATTTCACTTAGTTTAGTATTCTCCAGTTCCATCCATGTTGTCACAAAAGGTAGGAGTCCTTTCTTTTTTTTAATGCAGATTGATTTTCTTTTTTTAAATATCAAAATCCTTTATAAAATATTAAAAAATTTAAATACATTATAAAGTCTCGGCAATTAAGACAACATGACACCAGCACAGATACAATCAAATAGATCAATGAAATAAAATGAGAATTCTAGAAACAAACGAATATGTCTAACAATGTAATATATGATTCTATTCATATTTTAAATCAATGGGGAAAATAAGGCTTATTCAGCAAATAAGGTTCATGGACCACTATTACTTGCAATAAAACAAGTATAGAGCCCTATTTCACACATTATACAAAAAATATTCAGGTGGATTAAAAATCAATATGTAAACGCTAAAGAGTTTTAGGAGAAAATACAAAATACTATTTTTCTTACCCTCAAGTAAAATATTCAAACCCAGAAGCTATAAAGTAAAATATTGACAATATGACTATATTAAATATTTAAGACTATATAGTAATATACATATAAAAAAGTAAAACAACAAGTAATAGAATAAGAAAGTATTTGCAACACATCTAAAGAAAGCGTTAATAGGGGTTTTTAAAGAAAAAAATTCTATAAATATTTCTTTGAAAAATGGATAAAGAACACCAAAAAGTCATTTGAAGCTTTTTAAATATCATAGAAATGGGCAAGAAATATACAAAAACAAGTTTAGTTTCAACAAATAATAAAGTAACAAAAAAAATCATTGTCACAATCAGATTAATAATATTAAAAATATTGGTAATATCAAATATTGGTGACCATGAAAGGAAATGGGTATTCATAGACTCTTTTTCTTCATCTTCTTAAAGCAGTCCCTTTAGCATATTTTGCAATGCTGGTTTGGTGAAGGTGTATCTTTTAGCCTTCTTTTGTCTGGGAAAATCCTTATTTCACCTTCCATTTTAATTGAGAGCCTTGCTGGGTAGAGCAGTCTTGGTTGCAGGCCTTTGCTTTTCATGACTTGGAATATTTGTTGCCATTCCCTTCTGGCTTGGTGTTTCTGTTGAGAAGTCAGCGGCTAGCCATACCAGGGTTCCCTTATATGTTACTAACTCTTTCTCCCTTGCTTCCTTTAAGATTCTCTATTTGTCTTTGATATTTGCCATTTTAATGATGATGTGTCTTGGAGTGGGCCTCATTGGGTTCCTCTTGAATGGGACCCTCTATGCTTCCTGGACTCGTGTGACTTTTTCTCTCCTCCAACTGGGGAAGTTTTCCATCATTACTTTTTCAAACAGGTTCTCTATCCCTTGTTCTTCCTCTTCTCCTTCTG